ATCGATCTGAAGAGCACGTGTGTTCTGTTTACCCTATAACCTGATAACACGAACCACCCGAAATACTTGAAAAAATGCGCGGTACCCATATCTTCGAGAACATCCGAAACGTAGCTTCCAATTTAAATTTTTAGGGCGATTTCCTAGTCTACAGTCCATTCTTCCACAAGGAGAAGTTGCAGTCGATTATTCATCTTCCACATGAACGAAGCAACTTCATCTTCTACACGAAGCATCCTGAGCTTCATCGTGGCAATGGGCAAGGTATGTTTTTCTTGAGTTATATATAATTTTCAATAATTTTTAGCTTTTAGGGTTTGAATGATGTTGAGAATGCTATTTGCTCGTTAAGTTGTGTGACAGAATCTACCGCTGGGTACCGCTGCGTTATCCGAATGAGTACCCAGCGGTTCCTACCAGGTAACGCTGGGATATTTCTATAAGCATTGTAAGTTCCATAAGTTATTGTAGATCCAGGGCTTGTCGTTAGAGTTTAATTTTTATTTTTCCGCTTTATATGGACTCTCGGTATTGCTCGGTACCGAGCTGTTTTAGATTCTTTTTCTTGGTTCCGCTCGGTACGCTCGGGACCGCTCGGTACAGCTCGGTACCACTCGATACCGAGCGGTACGTAGATGTCCCGGACTGGAATTAAATTTATCCTAATCAATTACAACATATTACGCAGGGATATGTGCCGAAGATTAGCTTCCGTTGCAGAACGTCAACCTTTAGAGAAGTTTGTGATCATTTAGTTGAAATATTTGGCGAGAACCTTGTTGAGAGTTTGAAGCAAAATAATCTGCATCACTTTCTTTTTATGCCACGTTTAGTACAGAATGTTCCGTTGGTTTTCAAGTTGTTGTCCTGCTGGGACATTAAGAAGCAATGCTTTATCATTAAGGATCAGATGTTACTATTTACTGCCGATGAAGTAGCTATGATATTAGGCTTACCAAATAGAGGCAACAATTTTGAAATAGGTAGTGCTAGAATAACGGGAAAATCAGCCAATGATGTTAGGAAAGAGGTGATTAGTTTAGATAAATCTACGCCAATGCCTGATGTTTTGAAGAAATTCATCATATTTTTATTGTCAAATCTATTTTTTCCTCTGCACAACTATTGAACACCAGCCTCTATCATTAGTGTGGCTCGAAATGTTGACAAATTTTTATCTTACAATTGGCCGGAATCAATCAGAGAATTCCTTGTTGCTGACTTTAATTCCATTGCCAAAAAGATGAAGAAATGACTGCCACTCGATTACTTGAATGGCTTTGTTCATATAATAATTGTGAGTACACTGAATTTAAATAGTTTTGTATTAATTAATTATGTTGAATATTGGTAGATATATTTTAAGTTGATATTCTTATGTATGAGTTCAGATATGATTTCTAGAACATTGTACACTCCACGAACCATTGAATTCGAAATCAAGACCAAGGTATCTCCACTGGGGATCCTATGTAGTTTATAACGACGCAGATGCTTCTAGTTTATTCGACGGTCTTGAAGCTACTGATTTATTAACTTCTTTTGATGTAATTACAACTGATGAGAGGGCTTTATTAGCAAATCCTCCCCCACAGACATCACCTGACAAATCCCCTAACAAAGAAATTATCTTGCACAAACCTCGTGAACAACTTTCTTCACCTTCAACATCACCTACACCCCCGAGTCCTCCAAGACAAAATAGCCCGCCCCCAAGCCCAATCAGGCCGCCCCCAAGCCCAATCAGCCCAGGTGGACCAACCACTCAAACACCACCTATGTCACATGGCCAGCAGCAGCAGCAACCAACTTCCCCACCTGATGGACATCATGATTATAGAGTAGAATATATGCATAAGGTTTTAGATCAAAATAAATTTCTTCGGAAAAGGTTAATTAGCTTAGAAACAACAATATCTCTGAATGAACGAAGAATGGAGGCACTTGAACATCCTGTTTTTGAGAAGAGGGAGATGAATAAGAGATTGGAAGCAATGGAGCAGTTCTTATCTGAGAACTTTCCTTCATTTAACCCCTCCTCGACTGCAGATGTACATGTTCAATCTTCCTCCAGGACTATGACTGATGAGATGAAGAAGGTAGTGTGTGAAGAGGTTATTGCTGAATGTCTATTTGAAGACGGCCAGCCAATTAAGGATGATGTTACCAAATCTGAACCATGCAACTCAGGCATAGCCAAACGGGTGAGATGTCTGGCTGACCGTAAAGCTAAAGAGGTTAAGACACCTTACACCAAGGGCGAATATAAGAGAAAGATGTTAAAAAAAGCTGATGTTAGGCCCTCCCCAGCAAAGATTAATCTTACAAATGCTCTGATTGAAGTTGAAAGTCAAAAAACACCCGGACCAAGACCAGCTCCAACAAAAATAGATTATCCTGGGCGAGCAATGATAAATGACTAGATGAGAATGCTTATCAATGATTGCCTTGAGAAATATACTGATAAGTATGTAACATTGACATTTAGCTGTAAATAATGCTAGGTACCGGTAGGTACCTCTAGGTACTGATCGGTACCGGTAGGTACCGCTCGGTACTGGTCGGTATCGATCAGTACCGCTATAAACTGTTCGGTACATATAGTAACACACCGTCTTATATTTTGCAGGGCAGATACAATTTATACTGCAGGAAACATTCAGATCTTCAAAAGTCAGATCGATGAACTGTTAACAAACCAATATCTGGACAACAACCACATCGACGCCTTCATAAGTTTGCTGGCTGAGAAAAATAAACTTCGTCCTGGCCTTTATCAACCATTTATTTATGTTTCTAGTCTGCATTGGGTAATGTTGTTATTTTGCTCACTATAACTGAATATGTTTACAGTTCTCCTTACCCGATTAAACATAAAGGGGTCCAAAAAATATGAGATGGAAAGCAAGCAATACGTGTCTCACATTAACAAAGATGCAGTTACCGCTTCTAATTTCCTTCTACTACCAATACATGATAATGCCAATTGGACTCTTATGGTTGCTTATTTGAAGCAGTCAACTTGGTATTTTTTTTTATTCATTATCTAACCCCATGCATCGGGCTGTGCTTCCACAAGTTGTAAGTCGAGTGTTGTACATCTTAAGTGTGTTGTATGCATTCGTATTGTAAATTTTAATTTTGTTTTACGCATGCGTAGATATAAACAACTTAACTATTATTACAGATAAATCATTTACACGAGGAAACTCAAGGCAGTTTCCATACTGATATCAGATCATGGCAAGTTCAAGTAGCTAAGGGAATTCCAAAACAAATATATGGAAACTGTTATCCAACCACACTTTGTTAAATAGGAATTATTATTGGACTTGCAAGCTGAAATGCCTAAGTTTAAAGCAGAACTTGCATTCATGTTGTTATGTTCCACGCTTAAATGATAGTAGGACTACACTTGTAAATTGTAAATAGACAAAACGTTCTAATTTGGTAAATATGTAACTACATTTTTAAAAGTTTTACTTCTTAACCAAATAGCAACCCATCTTAAATATGTGCAACAGTACAACTACCAACTTTAATTTCAACAAACATAGTAAATATCATACCACAACAATAATATTAAGTAGAAGTACCAGAACATTGTACGGGAAGTACCGCTCGGTACAGATCGGTACCGCTCGGTACCGATCGGTATTGATCAGTACCGAGAGGTAATCAGTACCGAGAGGTACCAAGCGGTACTTACCGGTACCTAAAGGTACCCACCGATACCGATCGGTACCGAGAGGTACTTAGAAGCTCGGTACCGATCAATACCCCGAAGTTTCTACGATACAAAATCAATTACAATAATAACAGAAATCAAATTAAGCCAATTAAGAAATTCTGAATATTTATCCAAGCCTTTCTGCATCAATTAATCCATTCATCATCTCTAAATATTCAGGGTTGGGCTGACTGCTTAGTCGACGAAGAGTCCACTCATCGGTGAAGCATTCTGGTATGTTCGCAAAGGAAACATGACTAATAGGTTCCACATGTGTAGGCTGATGAGTTGAAGTGAAGTATTCTGGTATATTTGCAAAAGAAACTTGACTATTAGGTTCCACAGGTGTACACTGATCAGTTGAAGGTGTAGGTAGTTCCTCAGCTTTCTTCCTCTTTGGCTTTCTTTTTTCCCAATGGCTATTCAACCTTGCATTTGAAACTCCTTTGAGTCTGCGCTTTATAGGGTCTTTTATTTTAGTTGGCATGCTTGAATTCGTAATTAACTTAGGGTCCTTGCTAGCATTTAATATCAGATCCACATTCTCAGTAATCTCAAACATTGCATCAATCATTTACTGTTCTGCTTCCGTATTCCCTTGCCCTCTAGTGCTTATTTGATATGCAAATCTACTAAAATAATTTCTGAACATTATACCTCCTATGCCATCCGAGGGGATTCCGGTAGCTACCATAGATGTTAACGGCCTGTCTGAGTAAAGGTCCTTGCTTGCTCGACCTGACCATCTCTTCAATAGATATTTTTGAGGTATACTAATTATATCAATATGCCTTACCACTCTCAAGCAGTGAGAACATAGTATCCCCATCATGCCGAATTTTCCACAGCTGCATTCAATGGTACTTTCTTCATCATCAAAATTAACTGTCCAATGACAAGGCTGATTAATGTTCTCAATAGTTTTGACAAAAAAAGTGGATAAGTCAGTTGAGGCATGAGCTATGCACATACCACCCACACCTTATAAAAACTCCTCAAAGAAAGAATACAATTTACGCAAATAAAAACACGCGGCCTGCCTAAGAATCGGACTACTCTTCACTAAAGGTACAACATCGGACTGACTGCATTTGAAGTCTTCATCCTTTTCATTCCGACGCCATGTCTTCATCACCTTCTCTAGTCCCAAAATACACTCAGTAATGGTGCTAGTAGGCTTAGAAATTCCATGGCACACATTGTTAGTGGATTCACTACGCTGTGTTGAAAGAATACCAAGGTTAAAACAAGTCTTGTTTTATGTTGTGGATCACTTATGCCTTATTTTGTAGAGTTCTTTCAACCAGTCATGGCTATGAAGCTCCCTTTCATTCAGCATTTCAGTCCAATAACTATCAAATTCCTCCTCTGAATCACACTTGCTGAAACATTTATGAATGAGACATCTAACCTTGTTATTGCTGTTGCAACAATGCAACTTGGATAGAAGCTTCTTGGTGATGTGCCATTGGCAAAGCCTATGGCGTGTTTGAGGAAATGCAATTTCTATTGCCCGAGATATTGCCTGATCCTGGTCAGTAAAAATTATAATGGGATGTTTATCACCCATTACTCGCAAGAATGTTCTAAACAACCATGTAAGTGATTTTATTGTTTCTTCTGACAGAAATTTAACCCCCAAAAGAACATTTTGCCAATGGTTATTAACTCCAACAAAAGGTGCACAAGCTAGATTGTATTTGTTCAGTCTATAGCTGGTATCAAAAATTATAACATCTCCAAAGCAGTCGTAGTCTATTCTTCCCACATCATCAGCCCAGAAAAAATTCATCAATCTATCCTCCTCATCATATTGGACTTCCCACACAAACATGTTATCACTGTTTGCTCGATTTTTAAAAATTTCAATTAGGGAATTGGTGTCCCCAGTCTCAATCTTGCATCTTCTATTTTTCTGAACAAAGTTATATGCATCTCTTCTTAAAAAACCTACATACTCTCTCCCACCAATTTCATCAGCTAAGTATGTGAATGCATCAATGGTTCTAATCTCAGCATCAGTCATAGATTTAAGAACGAATGCTCTCTCTTCGGTAATATTTCTGCATGATCTCAGTAAATGTTGATCTTCAGGCCTTGCTAACTCATGGTTGTGGTTCTCAATGCATTTATTAACCTTCCATTCCCCATCTTGATTAACTGAAAATCTAATCATCGCGGGATACCCTATCCTATTATTGGATTTCTTGTATTTCGATTTGGCATTCAAGTCAAGGCCCTTCTTAAAACCAGCTTTCGAACATACAAAATCTTACATCCGTATCTTTCTCGAATTAGGCCAGTAACAGTGATGATCTTTGCGAACACTAAAACTAACATTGTGCGCGTAATGACAGTAAATTTCATATGCCTCTTTCTCACTATTACAAACAACCTACGAACAACAACCAATTCGAGTTTAACAATGGAAACACACACACAATTTCAAAATAACTTCTGTACCTAGCGGTACCTACAAGTACCGACCGATACCTACTGATACCGAGCGATACCGAAGATTTAAAAAGGGTACTAAACGATACCGCCTGCCCACCAATACATATATTCTCACCAATACAAAATTTTTAAAACAAAAAATATTCAAGTAAACACTGAAGAGGTCATGACATTCATATCATATTTACCGATAATATATCCACGTTTGGTTGGGTATTCTGTTGCAAACCATCTCCTCCTCTAAGCTGTGACTCTTGCGTAAAACCTTCCATCTCCGACCAGTCTTTCATGTCCTCCGGCACAATATCCATCTTCAGACCTTACACTTCAGACCTTACGCTCTTCTACTGCATTCTGAGATTTCAGGTGTTACGAGAAAAAAGTTTTAACTGAGGTAAAAAAACTGCGCCATCAAATATAACCCTAGCTTTAATCGCACATTTTTTCAAGTATTTCGGGTGGTTCGTGTTATCAGGTTATCGGGTAAACAAAACACACGTTCTCTTCAAATCGATGGGATCAAGGTGGGCTCCACATGACGCGAAACTATTTGGTTGCACACACAGAGCTACGTCCGCACTCTGCACCCAATAAAAGTTCCATATAGTGGGACAAAGGCTTGTTATTGTGCCAATGTCTTTCCTCAAGTAAGGCATCATTTGATTTATTTCAACTAGTCCTAGCCTATGATTATTTTCTCTTTCTTAGATTTTTCATATAAAATCTTAAGTGTTTTATGATTCTTACACCCCTCTGTCTTATTTATGTGTTGAATCTTCGTATGGCACTAGGACGTTAAATACTCTCTCTACCGGCGCAAATATTCAAGCTTATAACAATATTATGGCATAATTTGTATCTGATGGTAATACAAAATATTTAAATTTAGATGATTAGAAATTAAAATCAGAAAACAAGTAGAATTTTCGGGTAAAGATAACTACTTCATTTTTTGTTTTATATTTATTTTTAAGTCAATTTTAAACACTTGCCATATAATTTTGAACCCTTTCTCATATTTTTTTAATATAAATTATTTCATGACATCATGACATAACTTTTATTTAACAAATTCTATCATTATAAAACATATTAATGAACCATCATATAAGTTATTATTCCAGCATCATAAAACCAATTATCAAATCAAGCAAATCCATTACATATTGATGTCATGTCAGCCTTTGGAATTAGATCATAAAAGAAACATATAAGTATGAATTGACCAGGGTTGGACAACAACTGCTTTGACTATTTAACTTTCTGGAACTGTGCCCCAATATAATTCAGTTCAAACTGTGAGCTCTGACTCTTCTGCGTCAAGCAAAATGAAGCAAAGTAAAATCTTTTGTGGTACTTTCCCAAAAAGACAAAAATCTTTTGTGGATGCAATATAGTGTGCACTGAGACCAACCAACAAAACATGATGGTCCTAAATTCAAGGAAAATTTGTAAAATTGAGGGTTTTCTTCCAATAAAAAAGTAAAAAAATTCCTGTTAGCTAATAAATATAACGAAAAATCTGCCACATTTTGAGAAACCTGGAAAGAGACTTGCTTTATCACATACATGTTTTTTACTGCATATTGGATAAAGAAAAAGCATAGTTAAAGGATTTGAAATTCAGGAGGATAGATGCTACGTCCAAGGTTAGAAATAACCTGTAAAGAGATGAATTTTGTATAACAGCACATTGTTTGGGCAAAATCAGTTCAAGTCGATCGCCCAGCCTACAAGCTCACCTCCTTAGGCAAACTGATCTCTAGAAAGTACAAGCTACCAGTAACAAAGCATTAATTCAATAAAATAAGCCTCAACAACGGTTAAAAATATTTTCAAAATTGAATATATTTTATTAAATCATTCTTTTAATATCTGCTAGTATAATAGCATACATCAAACTACTGTGAAGATAAAATACGAGGAATATATGGTTACAAAGAAAACCAACTAAGCCATTATGAACATGATGCCATTAGAGAGAGCTCTTCACATTCGAATGTAAATAAAAAAACATTTTGTATTGGATATTGAAAACGGAGAAGAAATTACAACGACAACTTTCAGAAGGATAGAATTATGTCTGTTTATACTAGAAATTATGCAAATGAATAAAAACGCAATCATGAGAGAAAACTAAAAAACTTTAATCAAGTTGAGGTGGAAGGAGCGGGCATGCAAGAGAAGCGTTAAGGTCAAAATCCTACATTTTTTTTTACAGATATTAAAAGAATGATAGTGTGCAGCACATACATACAAACAAGCATAGCTAATTTACTAATGTTATATTTATTGCATACACATATAAGCCCATGTACATAACACTTATATAAGTATCTCATTAGTTCCAGTCCATGGAACTTAGCCAATAAGAGCAAACAGTCTAGGCAGCCCTCGTCCAAAGGGAGGCATGCTTTGCAAGATTGTCATGAACCCTAGCCTGTGGGCAAGCAGCCACTCAAAACCTACGAAGATAATGGTATATTGACTGATCCTAAAAGATTATACCAAGGAAGCATCTTTCATCCAAAGGAACTCATCGTCTGTTCTTGGAAACTCGCCATCATAAACTTTCCTTATATGCCAAGTCTTGAAGACTCACTCAAAGAACTCGCCACTGAAAACTCACCAAAGATACTCAATCGAATGAAAATCGAGGGGAGCGGGAAGGTGGCCATGCTAGAGATAGAAGTCTATGTGTAAACCATTTCATTAATCCACATATTTGTGTCAATCAACATTGATCACATCATGTACTACATTGTTAATTTATTCTAGGTGAACCCTTTCCTATAGCCCTCTTTAAGAGATGAAGAGGCATATTTTGGACTTCATGCTGTGGAGATTACAAAGAGAGATACAAAAGCTTTTCGTTTAATTTACATACTCACTAACTTTCTCACTCGGTTCTTCAAATTTCATCTACTAAATAATTGTTGCAAGGTTGAGCATTACACATGGATAAATTTAGACCCAATATCCTCAAATTTGTGGTGAGAGTGGATTGATGCTAGTGACCAAATTAGAGGCACTTCGGTAAGAGTAGCAAAACATGCAACATCAAGCCTTTGTTCCACTACGTGGGGTTGGCTACATGAATCCTTCTTCGCCACTTTGTCCTGTTAAAAGTCAAATTCTCTGTTTAAAAACTATATGGATGAATTTTATTCAGAAAGAGATGACTGCAGTTGGTATAAGATGGTATGGCATTGTTGACCTGTATCATATACCCAAAAGAACAAAAGAAAGAGGAAGCCAAAATTCAGCGTACAAACCTCGTATCCGATGGATCCAGGAACCCTGCTGAAATCCTGCTGAAATCCCATCAAAATTACTATAGATACGGCACCGAACGATCACTTCTCCGCAATCCCTGCGCGAATCCTGCGACGACGGCCTCGTTTCTCGCCTCTTTCGCGTCTATAAAATGAAGGGGAAGCCTCACGATCTCCTCCCGACTCCAAGCCGCTCATTCCAATGCCCGAGCTCTCACTGCTCTCTCCCGATACCTCTCCAATCTCCTTCTCTGTTCTGAACTCCCTTCCTCCTCCGACTCCACACACACAGAGCCGGAACTCTGTTCAGCCCGACACCCTGTCCCGCCGAACTCTTCTCTCTCCGACTTCGCTACCCACACGACCCCCTGCTCTTCCGATCTCCTCTCCAAGCCGAACTTACTCCAAACTCCACCTTCCCCAATCTCTCTCTGACTCCAAACGAAGCCGCTGCTTCTCCAACGCCTGAAACCCGACCCTAGCTCTTGCTTGAGCTGTTCGATCCATACAGAGAGAGAGAGAGAGAGAGAGAGAGAGAGAGAGAGAGAATTCCTCTTACCTGAAGCCGACGCCTAGCCGAAACCGCCTCTCGACGCTCCGATCCCGACCCTGCTCCGACGTTCCCTTCTTTGTTGGATCGGGAATAACAAGGGGAGCTCACTGGCTGTGAAGGTTAACTTTCTCCTTATGCGTGCTTCTTGCGGCCAAATCCCGTCCCAAACAGCCCCTTTTGGGGCATTTTATTATTATTATTATTTTTTAATTATAATTAATTAGTTTAAATTACAAAATTAGTGATAATTAATTAAAATTAATTACAGTTAATTATATTAATTATAATTAACATTTGATTAATCATAATTAGCTAGCTAAGGCTAATTATGTTTAATTAGTGTTAATTATAATTACTAATTAGTTAATTGTAGATTAATTTTTAATTAATTATAGTAATTATAATTAATAATTTTTAAATGATAATTAATTATTATTAATCATTAATTAATCATAATTAATT